AAATAAATTCAGAATACATCTAATATGCCTCTTTCGCTCACGTTGTGAAATTTTAACCTTCCATTATTCAATGTCAGGCAACAATGACTTATGAACCTGTAGACTTGTGAAGGTAGTTCCTAAAAACTAATATTTCAACAGTTATTTAAACATTGTCATAAATTAGTACTTCTCAAGGCCGCTCAGCAGGGAGATGCTTCTTCTCATCTCAATAACTCACCTAGAGCTATGGGTTGAAAGAATGTATAACAAAGCAGCCTTGAGAAATTGCTGGAATTATTTCCAGCTTCCTTAAATGGACGTTACATAGAATATATCAATATTCTTATTCTCCATGTCTGGACAATCCTGGTGTCTATACTAAGTGACATATAAATCCGAACACCAGTTTAAATGGTTTTATTTAATAAAAGTTGGTGAATGTATTTATCATTCTGTAAAACACAAGTGAAAAAATTTTCAGCCTTATCAGTTGGACATTCCGGTTTTTATACTGCTTTTTTTAATTCACTGACGCTCTAAAAATGAATATTTCAGCCGCAGTAAAGAATCAACGTTGGCGGATTTTGGTTCTTGACATCCTTTACGATCGGTTACGATGCCTAGAGTACGTAGACCTGTACGATTTCGTCAAATTAGTGAGTTTAATAGGGGCCGTATAGTGGGACTTCGGGAAGCTGGACTTTCTTTTCGGGCAGTTGCAGTTAGAGTGCAAAGAAGTGTAGACACTGTGGTTAGGTGTTGTCAGGCATGGCTTCGAGAAGGCCGTACGCAAAGAGCAAGGGGCACTGGACGCCGCCGTAGAACAACAGACCGTGAAGATCGCCCCCTAAGATTATTGGCCTTAAGGGACCGTTTCTCCACTACCAGGTCCATTGCAAATGAATGGTTTGCAGAACACGGAAGACCTATTGGCATGCGAAGTGTTTACCGACGAATGAGAAGTTTTGGCTTGTTTTCATACCGGCCACACTGGGTCTTCCCTTTAACTCGAGAACACCGACGTAATCGCCTTGAGTGGTGCAGACAACGGTCACTCTGGGATCAGGAATGGAACAGTATTGTCTTTAGTGACGAATCTCGATTTTGTTTAGGCATGCACGATGGTCGTGCCAGGGTTAGAAGGCGACGTGGTGAAAGGAGGAATCCACACTTTTTTGTTGAAAGACATTTTCATCACACTGTTGGAGTTATGGTTTGGGGTGCTATAGCTTATGGTTCCAGGTCGCCTTTAATCTTCATCAGAGGTAACATGAACGCGCAGCGTTATATCCACGAAGTTCTAGAACCCCATCTTTTACCCTATCTTGACACCCTGGCAGATCCAACTTTCCAACAAGATAATGCCCGACCACATGTTGCAAGAGTCACAATATACTTCTTTCAACATAATGAGGTCACATTGTTACCATGGCCACCAAGATCTCCCGACTTATCCCCAATTGAGCACGTGTGGGATATGATGGGTAGGAGATTGCTCAATTTGCAACGTCCTCCTCAGACTCTAGAAGCACTTCGAGAGGAGTTGGTGGTTGCCTGGAATGAGATACCACAGGAGGACATTGACCACCTGATCAGAAGCATGCCTAGGCGCGTTGGAGAATGCGTAGCACATCAGGGTGCATCCACACATTATTAAAGGTCAAAGGGCTTTAAAGCAGTGCAATCATTTTGAAATTTTTATCATTTACTTATGATGCTTCATTAAGTACTTATACAAAATTTTATTAAAATAAAACCATTTAAACTGGGTGTTCGGATTTATATGTCACTTAGGATGTAACTGTATTAAAACTATTCGTGGTCCGCTACAATAATGAGCATGCAACCCCTGTCAGGTATGGTATTGAGCGGCGCCACTGTCGATATTACAGATGTTAGTCGCAACCGCTTTAATCTTCCGTATCTAGTTAACGTGTAGGTTTCGGGTGTTACCGTTGACAAATGAAACCGTAACAAAGGGATATGAATAACAATGATGAGCGCTTTAGAACAAGAAGGCGCATACGTGCGGAAGGTTCAATGCCGCATGTGCTCATCTATGATAATCTGGGGTAGATCATGATTTTGCAAATGCGGACAGTTAGCTTTGTCGAAGGGTAGTCATGGAATGTGTCCAGGACGTTAAAGGACAACACATCCCTTAAAGGATAGGCGTACCTGAGACATGTATCTACTAAAGCTGAAAGAGGTTACGACTTGTTGGATATGCTAAGATCCTGAACAAGGTACAAAACTTTACTATTCACATCCAAGCAACTCTAGGATTGAGAATTTTTGCCTATTTTAAATCTGGAAGGCAAAATGTAATTTACTAAATTGAGGTTTGCTTACATATAGCTCTCCTTCCTTATGTATGAGCTCTTCGTGTTCCAAAAGGAGTTCAACAGCTTCGACAAACTCCACGTTGATAGCGTGTAACAGAGAATCTTTCGTATCTACTCCCATGATGATCAGCAATTCGACCATTTCCAAGTTTTCTTGATCGATGGCTATGGTCATTGCTCCTCTACCAAAACTGTCCACACAGTTGATGTCCAGGTTGGTTTTCTTCCTGTGGGCCTTTTGCAGCATTCTGAAAGTAGAAGAGCAAGTCATTGGTATATTCAGACGTTGGTCAGCCTCCTGCATTATTTACAAGTGAATCTAGTTTATTTCTAGCGCAAACATTCAGGACGAATTTTATCCATTAAACGTTTCCGGCAAGAAAATAAAATTGGACGGTTTTGCAATATGATAGATGTACCAAGTTAAAGCCGATGTTAGGATTTTAACCATGATTTATGCTTTTAGATCCGCTTTTTATAGGTACAGACTTTGTTTCAATGTATGATGTTGACTCTAACCTTGTTAAAACTAGATAAAACTCGAACATAATTTGTGGAGTATAAATACTCAAATTCAGATTAGGATAATATAAAATTGTTAGTAATTAATAACATTGAGTTCCCCGAACTGGTGTGAAATACCAAATCGGTAAAATTAGGTATGTCAGATATAGGCACCCAAATAGTTTTAGAATTCGCACTGTTTTCGAAAATTCCTGAAGTGGGTCACACGTAGGTTTATGGTAAGTAGAGTAGTACTATCTTCATTGCCTTTTAATTTTAAATTCCCCACCATGAATAAATTTACAAACGATTGTGAATTTGGACAAGAAATGCTTTCTTGACCAGTAATGGACAATGAATTGATGCCTAAAAGATTATTTATCTTACATTACATCGCATTCATCTATGACCAAATAAGAACAGCACGCTGTCAGCTGTTTTGTGGACGCCATGGTTTGGGTTACATTTTTTATCTTTCGCTAATTCATTCGCCTTGTCTAATTGTCTCTTCTTGGTGTAACCATTCTTTGTTCAAAATAATATGGGTAATAGGCTAACGAATAACAGTGCACTTCTATCAAAATTTGAATGGACTCCTGGCTACCAAATAGTTAAAACGGTAATGAAAGATTACTGTCTGTCACTTACTTACGAGCAGTAACGCACTATATGTTGTATCAACTTTGGTGTGATCAATAGGATATTTTCGTAACAACTAAACTACAGGCTATGAAACTTTTTACTGAATCGTTTTGATGAATCTCTTTGAGACTGAAAGCCACAACGAGTTATAGCTGTCCGAAGAATGTAGGAAAGAGAAATGTGATTAATAATGACAAAGTATTTCGGTTTTATCCAGCTATACGAGCTCGGACCAGCTTCAGTTGGCCCACTTGGTAAATTTACAATTATTGGCATATATTGACGATTATTTAAACTAATAGAGGCATAAATCTTAATTTTTATTTTGCAAACAGCATCTTAAAATTTTATTACACAAAAAACTAAACTATTCATAACACTGACGCTGACTAGAGCGAAAAAAGGGGAAACAACAAAATTTGTGATTTTTATCTATAAGAAACAAGAATTCGTAACTCAGTTTACCACTGAGTAACATCACCTTTATTTTTAATTACAGCTTCAATTCGTCGAAGCAAAGTATTTATTAAGTCCTGACACTCATCTGGAGTGAAATTATCCCAAATGTTCTGCAGTTTTCCTTGAGTTCTTGCACAGTCCTGGCAGGACTGGCTGTCAGCCTCTTTTTCATGATGTGCCATAGGGTCTCGATGGTGCACACGATTCCATCTCTCTATATCCCAATTTCGATGGTTTTTAGCCCATTTTAACCTGTTTTGCTTCTGCTTTAAGGGCAATAATGGTTTTTCTTTAGCCTGCTCCAAAGGAAACAATAATTAGCTCTTGTTGCTTAGGATTGAACTCGTGAAACTTACCTTGTAAGTACCGTAACCTAGTTTTCTTGCTTCTGAATGACACGTAGACCTGCAAACACGTCTTCCAACAGCTTCACTCCAGAGTACACTCAACTCTCCGTAGTTAGCATATCTATTAGACTTGACAATTCTGTCCAAAGCTCGTCTATCAGGGTCTGTTAATTTGGATTTTTTTACATCACTGGGTTTTTGGACAGTTGAACCATTTGATTCGTATAATCTTACAATATATCGAACACTGCATCTAGATAACCCGAGTCTTTCCTCTGCTTATTTTTGATAGCAACTACGAGGTACGGCCGCCTGATAAACTAAGGTTCGCTAAAACGAGCGAGCTTCCTTGTCAAACAAGCATTGGTACCGTTTGTAGTAGTTTGTAGTATTTTGGGTATTGAGGTTTTTTTACAGTTGTCGATTTTTTATGACACAACATACTCTACTGAATCCATATATTTCCTAAATTACTATAAATAGCATATTTTGTCTTATATCTTATTTGCCAATAAAAGTCAAAAAAACTACAAATTTTGTGTGTGGGCCTACTGAATCTGGACAGCGCTCGTAATTATCGGTGAATGACGTATTGAATGTAAATCGTGGTAAGATACTTTGCATATTGTTTTTGTTTGTTTGATCAATCCCATTTCTGGTGTATTTTTATTTTTAAAATACTAGGTGAAAATATTAGGTAGCATCGAAAATATTCTCATTCCTTCTTTCAAATTTTACAAGAGCGTTTCATGCATAAAACGAGTTTCTAAACAAAATCCATCTCTTGATAAAGTTTCACAAAGTTCTATGTCACCTGGTATAATTTTTACATACCTTCTAACATTAGGCAAGTCTCCTCTTTCAACAGCCAAAAGAAATCTCTTCTCTTCGACGGTAAGTGCACTTGGCAATTTCGGCATAATCAATGTCTTCCTGCTTATGGAAGCCTCTAGATCCTTATCCTCCTGAAAAGTAAATATACTAAGTGACATATAAATCCGAACACCCAGTTTAAATGGTTTTATTTTAATAAAATTTTGTATAAGTACTTAATAAAGCATAATAAGTAAATGATAAAAATTTCAAAATGATTGCACTGCTTTAAAGCCCTTTGACCTTTAATAATGTGTGGATGCACCCTGATGTGCTACGCATTCTCCAACGCGCCTAGGCATGCTTCTGATCAGGTGGTGTCCTCCTGTGGTATCTCATTCCAGGCAACCACCAACTCCTCTCGAAGTGCTTCTAGAGTCTGAGGAGGACGTTGCAAATTGAGCAATCTCCTACCCATCATATCCCACACGTGCTCAATTGGGGATAAGTCGGGAGATCTTGGTGGCCATGGTAACAATGAGATATCATTATGTTGAAAGACGTCTATTGTGACTCTTGCAACATGTGGTCGGGCATTATCTTGTTGGAAAGTTGGATCTGCCAGGGTGTCAAGATAGGGTAAAAGATGGGGTTCTAGGACTTCGTGGATATAACGCTGGGCGTTCATGTTACCTCTGATGAAGATTAAAGGTGACCTGGAACCATAAGCTATAGCACCCCAAACCATAACTCCAACAGTGTGATGAACATGTCTTTCAACAAAAAACTGTGGATTCCTCCTTTCACCACGTCGCCTTTTAACCCTGGCACGACCATCGTGCATGCCTAAACAAAATCGAGACTCGTCACTAAAGACAATACTGTTCCATTCCTGATCCCAGAGTGACCGTTGTCTGCACCATTCAAGGCGATTATGTCGGTGTTCTCGGGTTAAAGGGAGGACCCAGTGTGGCCGGTATGAAAACAAGCCAAAACTTCTCATTCGTCGGTAAACACTTCGCATGCCAATAGGTCTTCCGTGTTCTGCAAATCATTCATTTGCAATGGACCTGGTAGTGGAGAAACGGTCCCTTAAGGCCAATAATCTTAGGCGGCGATCTTCACGGTCTATTATTCTACGGCGGCGTCCAGTGCCCCTTGCTCTTTGCGTACGGCCATGTCTGACAACACCTAACCACAGTGTCTACACTTCTTTGCACTCTAACTGCAATTGCCCGAAAAGAAAGTCCAGCTTCCCGAAGTCCCACTATACGGCCCCTATCAAACTCACTAAGTTGACGAAATCGTACAGGTCTCTAGGCATCGTAACCGATCGTAAAAAATTTCAAGAACCAAAATCCGCCAACGCTGATTCTTTACTGCGGCTGAAATATTCATTTTTAGAGCGTTAGTGAATGAAAAAAAAAAACAGTATAAAAACCGGAATGTCCAACTGATAAGGCTGAAAATTTTTTCACTTGTTATTTACAGTAAGATAAATACATTCACCAACTTTTATTAAAATAAAACCATTTAAACTGGGTGTTCGGATTTATATGTCACTTAGTATATTTTTAAAACTTCGGAATTGGGAATGACCCAGAAACGAAGCCGCAGTCTTTAGGAATGTTTAAGTGCGACGTTCTTGGGTGCTCTATGTTAAACTCTCTGCTACCTGTCTACACTACTTGAAAAAGAAACCTTTCAAGTTCCTATTTTCAAAAGTGCAAAATGTATCTAGTTCTGAAAACAATACTTTCGTAGTCCTAGTTGTACGCATTTAAAGAAAGCAAATCTACCGGAGAACATCTGCTTAAATATAGTTGATTCCGGCTCATTCAAATAAAAATCAAATCCTTATTAGGAACTTTTTTGATTTTTTTGGGAACATATTGAAATCTTTCTTCCTCTAACTTTTTGTTTCTTAGATTTGGATTATGGTGGATCCTTATCTTCGCACGCATAAGTTATGGTATCCTTAAAGCATTAACACCATCGAAGTCCCTACGAGTATAACACCGTCCCATACTCGTGAGACAGGATGTGATGTTTGCATTTTTACCCGAGACTACTGATTTCTGGAAAATTCGTAAGTGTAATCTTATAATATAAAAAGGGTCTTTGACCATTCTCTGTACTCATTTCGTTACTTGTTCTTCTGTTCTCAACTGTTGCTGATGTCTCAATAAAAGTTAGTCTACAAAAGTTATTGAAGTATTTCTCTAACATCATTTGGCGATTATAAGAGAAATAGGAACGCGAGTGATAATTCCTCAGTGCAATCAATCACCCACGATCCACACGTATTTAATTCATATGGGTAATTTTTTGAACTGAGGACAAAACCTATGTTAAGTGGAACAGTCAAAATATGAGAGATTTAAATGTATGGCCATTTCAAGAAAATCAAGCGACAGGAAGCTGAAAGCGTAACCAGGAAACTGACGAAAACACGAAAATGAGTCAAAATGGACATTATTTAAGTAGATATTTTGTTTTTACAATCTCTGTCATTTTCTTTATATCCACTTAAATTTTGTTTCAACTTTGCAGTCAGCATATTTTTTCTAAAACGCTGATACTTTATTACATATTCGACAAAGTTCTTCCAAGAAAAGAAAACTGATATAACATACTAGAGTTTTGATGATTGGTTGTTGAGTTATAGATGACTTAATTTACAAAAACGCTCAAATTTGTCAGCCTGTAATTCCGCTATTTTGAGAGACAGCAGTTATACATTCCAGGATTATTAAGTACTCAAGAACTTCAAAATAAGGTATCACATGTACCTCAATTCCTTTGAAATTTTCAACGGTCACTTTTACGCAGAAAAATAAGGTTCATGCATCGATTCCATTACCCAAAATTTCAGCTCCTTAACTTGATCCATTAAAAAGTAGATTGGATCTTTTTGAAAGGGGGGGGGATATGGCTAGAGTAACTATATTTTGGTTTTTGTATCAGTACAAGCGAATCACTTTTTGCCTATCAAGTATTGATACAGAGAACGAGAGATGTTAACACAGATGTCTTTGGCTGTCTCAATGATTTTGGAAAAGCATTTAACAATGAATGAATGAATGAATCTTGAAATTATAGGCATTCTGGCCACCATAAGGAGCCAGTGCATAGGCCGCTTGAGCGGGCCCTTATACACCTCTACCATCCTTAGATCACAAGCCTCGCCCTTTTAGCGAAGTTGAGAATCGCCTTGAGTCCAAGCTCCTTGACGTCCTGAGGGTCCAAAGTAATGGACCCCAGTATAGTCTGCCTATAGTAGCTCAGAGCTTCACAGCGACACAAAACGTGCGCCGAGGTCTCTTCCTCTGCCCCGCAGCGATCACACAAGGGATCCTCAGCCACCCCCATCAAGTGCAGGTGACGCCTTAACGTGTTATGGCCAGACAACAGTCCCACCAGCAACCGTAGGTCGGCTCTATCCAGAAATAGGCAGAAACGTCCATCCATTTAACAAGGTAAGCGAACACCGAAGGCTCCCTGAACACGATCAACGATACAGAGGAGGATATATGATAAATTTAGTATACGCACTGTCAAGACGACTCGTATAACAAAAACCATAAACCCCTTGGAATGACCTCGACGAGGAGCAACATATTGTAAGATCCGTCAGGAGATATTTTAGGGCCAACGGCGTCAGTGGCAGTAGTGCTTCCCTTAGTGATTTTTCCTCACAGGAATCTTCAGAAGATTCCTCAACTGAAGAGCTGCACGGCACATCAGCGGAATCTCCTGAGACTCCGCATTGCACACTAGCAGAGCTACAAGGTCATATTAAAGACCTCAAGGTGCGTTAAGCACCTGGAGAGGATCGAATCACTAATAAGGCGCTGAAGCTACTTTCGCGGAAAGTCCTTAACTGATCTCGTGGCAATAATCAATCCCATGCTAAGGACCCAGCACTTTCCAACGGCGTGGAGGACCGCGGATGTCATAATGATTCCAAAGAAGGTGCGTTCGATATTCCCCCAGGATTACCGCCCCATTAGTCTACTGTCAGCTCCTTCTAAGCTCGCTGAAAAGGTGATTCTGCGACACCTCAAAAATTTCTCGGCAGACCACAGTGTGATTCCTGACGTGCAATTTGGCTACAGGCCATAAGAGTAGATGTCTTATGGGGATTCGGTCTCAAAACTTCCAAAATCCGCCACCAGAGGCGCTGGCGTCGCGCGCCATTGACAGGTTGTTGGACGGAATCTGTAATCGAAATTCATGAGTTGGGGATTCCGCCGCTAGATGGCGCTGTCAAACCAAACGGAATCTGTGTGTCATTGGACACCTGTCATGCGTCATTGGGCATCTCACGCATAGATGGCGTTAAAACGTCATCTGTCATACGTCATTGGACACCTGTCATTGATGGGTTGGGCATCTCGCGCATAGATGGCGCCGATTTGTTTGGCGGTGTACAAACCTAACGGAATCTATGTGTCATTGGACACCTGTCATTGATGGGTTGGGCATCTCGCGCATAGATGGCGCCGATTTGTTTGGCGCTGTACAAACCAAACGGAATCTATGTGTCATTGGACAGCTGCCATTGATGGGTTGGGCATCTCGCGCATAGATGGCGCCGATGTCGCACCTGTCTGGTGTTGGCGTGGATTACGGGGGGCATTCAGAACGTGTATACAGGGGTGCATCGAAAAATAGCGGATCGATGGACCGACGGTATATCGTTAAATCGTATATAGCAAGGCGTGACCTAAATAGCGTGGTGGGCTCCTCTGGTCGGTCGGTCGGTCGGTCAGAATGTCTCATAACCTGTATACGATGTACTGTTATTATTATACAGGATGATACCGTTCAAAATGAAAATAGTATAGACATTCTGACAATTATTTCGCAAACCAGAGGTATTTTCAATAAAACTACAATAATACGTTTAATATTTTATTGAAAATAGAAAAAACTACATAGGTAATATGATATTTGAAAACCAGTGGCGTAGACGTTCAACATTTCTCTGGGTACAGGAAAATTGTCCGTTGGTGTGGCATGGATTGGAATCAGCAACAAAGTTTCCAGTAGCACACGGTGTACCATCATACTTGCAAACATCAATAATGTTGGGAAAAACACCAAAAATGTGACATTTCTTGAGTAAAAAGTTTGCTTTCTGTTCTCCAC